TTGAAATGCTTTTGTGCACTTTGTGCTAAGTACAACAGTAGCTACTTAAAGAGCCCCTCATTCAGGGAACACAGAATGTTTTACAATATTGCAATACTGGGGTGCAGTGCTATTATGTTATGCATTGTCAGATGTTGAAGGCTGTCTTTTGTATTGATGGTATGACAGTCATCATGCCACAACACATTACATCCTGATTTTTTTAATTAACACAACAGCTGATGTTATTAGGAACTTACTGAAATATTCTAAAGCAAGCTAGTAGGCTGTATAGAGGTATGATTCTGTTTTTTGTTTTTTTTATCCATTACTTATAAAAGCACCCAAAAGAGGCATTATTCGATATACATAATCAAACTGAAAATATTAAATTAAGTAACCAGAGCTTGCTAGTGCAGAATCGTGATAAAATATTGATCAGATAAATACAAAAAAGAAAAGAAAAAGCATATTTTAGACACATAAATATTTATTGCATTCTGTTAATGGTCAATCATACCTCAACAAGTAAGTGCTGTTTATTTACTGTTATCATTTATAGTCTTGGTTTGGGGGTTTTATTAGTATTGTACACAAATGTAATAGGCCTTTTTTGCTGGTACATACTACAGAGAACAGTAATTTGTCAGCCTATGGTCTTACTTAAGCAAAGCCTCACAGACAATTTTAGTATTGCAGTTTATTTCTAAATTGTGATTTATGCACCCAAGATTAAAGTTAACTAAAAACATCTTATAAACCTCTAAAACTTGATACAAAAACAAACTAAAGCTTAAAAGAATGCTTGTAAGTAGTTCCATCGGACAAAATTTAAATGATTTGTTCTAGTGTAGAGGAAACCAAGAACATAAGAACATTATAACATATACACACACACACACTCACACACACACACACACATTGATTTCACATTCACAAATCATTCATTTTATTATTTTAAATTCACCCAGCCTTCCTACCTTTGGGAAAGCTGGAGTGGATTAGCTTTCCTTGGGATCCAGTTGGGCTCCTGTCATCTCTCTGCTCTGCTCACTAGAGGGTTGTTTAGCTAGCTGGGGGCTGGAATGACATCATATTCTGGCTCCCGGCATCACTTGGGGGTGCACGCGATGGAGCAGAGCAGGGAAATTACAGCTCCCTTGCCTCTGCGCTCATTCAGTTGCCTCCCTCATTTAGCTGCTCGTAGTCCACCTCCCTCATTTAGCCACCCGGTCCGCCTCACTCAGTTAGCCGCCCACAGCCCTCCTCCCTCATTTAGGCACCTGTGTCCTGACTCCCTCATTGAGCCTCCTGTGTCCTGACTGCCTCATTGAGCCACATGTGTCCTGACTCAGTGTGTCGAACATTCGCTTGTCTGCCTCAGCCCTGCATGAGCCGACTGCCCAGCTCCAGTCTCAGGCAGCCGGTCACCTCAGGGGCTGAACAGGCTAACAAATCCCAGATGCCTGGGATTTGTCAAATCCTGATATATATATATATATATTTATAAATATATACAGACACACTGATCAGCTACAACAGCTACAACATTAAAACCACTGACAAGTGAAGAGAATAACATTGTTACAATTACAATGTCACCTGTCAAGTCAGTTCTTGAATTTCATGTGCTGGAACCAGGAAAATTGGGCAAGCAAAAAATCTGAGTGACTTTCCTTTACAAGGGCTAAATAGTTAGGTTATTGACTGGTTTGGAGCAAAATTACAATTCTTGTGGGGTGTTCCAAGTAGGCAGTTGATTAGTAGCTACCAAAAGTAATGCAATGAAGGACTGATGAAACAGCATCAGGGTCAAGGGCTCCCAAGGCTCTTTGATGCACGTGTGAAGTCTGGTCCGATCACCCAGTAGAGCTACTGTAGAAATGGAGAAATGGAAAAAGGTTGCCTGGTCTAAAGAATCACGTTTTTTTTGTAGATCAGGTGGATGGTCAGGTACATGCGCGTCATTTACCTGAAGAAGTGAGGGCAGCAGGATGCACTATGGAAAGAAGGCATGACAGCAAAGGCAATGTTACGCTCTGGGCAATGTTCTGCTGGGAAACCTTTTGTCCTGGCATTCACATGGTTGCTACTTTGCAACGTACTACCTACCTAGATATTGTTGCAGACCAAGTACAACCCTTAATGGCTATGGTGATTCTTAATGGCAGTGGCCTCTTTCAGCAGTATAATGCACCCTGGTACACTGCAAACAATGTTCAGGAATGGTTTGAGGAACATGATAAAGAGTTTCAGGTGTTGTCTTGACCTCCAAATACCACAGATCTCCATATAATTGTAGAATGTGCTGGAACAACAAATCAGATTCATGGATTGCAGGAGTTTAAGAATCTGCTGCTAATATGTTGGTGGTGGATATCACAGGACACATTTAGAGGTCTTGCGTAGTCCATGCCTCGACACATCAGAACTGTTTTGGCAGCACTAGAGGGACCTACGTGATATTAGGCAGGTGGTTTTAATGCTTTGGTTTAACAGTATATATATATATATATATATATATATATACACTCATATATAAATATACTCCAATATCCTGTACTCTCGCTCTATGTTTTGTTGATTCCATGCCTCAGTACAAAGCTCTAACCAAAATTAAAAGTTCCTCAAAAGAGAACACTCATCGAACTTGGTTTAAAATGTGTTGCTTCATTTACACAGTTTTTTACATGGATGCAAGTCAGCATTTCAATCCTAACCACACTTTTTTCAAGACCTATATACACTGCTCAAAAAAATAAAGGGAACACTTAAACAACACATTGTAATCAGTAATCAGTTTTGTCTCTAATATATTTTTTAATTTTCAAATGTTTTTGATCGACTTCAACTTTTTCAATTTTATTCTGGATTAGTACAGAATTTTGTTTATAAGCCTTCGTTTCAGTAAATTGTAAGAGTTTCTCTCGGAGATCATTTATTTCAATATCTAGAATAGATAATTTTTTGCTTTTTTTAATTATTAATGTCTCCATTAGGCCAAAAGTACATAGTTCTAGTTTGCTATTCCATTCTTCCATGAACTCAAGATCATCTTGGTCAGAGGTGGGCAATTTAAGAAGTCTCAATCCACGAGGAGTAATTTGTTCGTCTATGTATTTTTTGAAAGTGGCAATTTCCCATTTAAGTTTAATCTCTGTAGATAAGGCTCTTTCTAATTTCATAAATAAATCTTGTTGGTTAGAGTAATGGGGAGTTATTTGTATAGAATTGATTGCCTCTGTATTAAATACATTATTAACATCAATTGTATATTTATTTCTGAATTCATAGATAGACATTTTTAAAAAGTTAAAAAGCAGCTATCCCAAAGGGAATTTGAAGAAATAATAATAAAAAAGAGGAGTGAGATAGCGCTAAGTAACTATAGGCAGCGACCTTAAAAGGGAATCCCTCAAACCCTTTAAAACAAGATACAATAAAAACAATAAAAGGCTGTGCACAAAAGATAAATAAAGTCCAATTAGAGTAAAATAAAGAAAGTCCAATTGGTTTGTTCTTACGGGTGTCCTTGTTTGGTGAGGTCTTCTATTATTTGTGGTGGTTTCACTTAATAAAAGATAAAAAAGAGAAGAAAAGGCGACAACCAATGGTGTAGTATGTAAAATTCAAGTCTAGAGGTAAAAAATAATGGTATAAAACTCACTTTTACCAGAGCTATTGACCAGCTCTGGAGTTAAGCGCGTACAGCGGTTTAATCCCCGCTTGTGGGATATAGGGCAGGTTCCTCTCCGTGAATGGTATCCAATTCTTGGGATAAAACAAACAGCCAATAGTGCTCACTGTATGGCAGATAATGATGAAATAATAAAAGAAATGTACTTACAAAGTGGGAGCAGACGCACTGCTCTTTGGTGACAGCTTGGGTGGATTGATCCCCACCTACGGATTTCTTTGGGTACAGGAAACTTCCAGGAATTTTTAAGGTTTTTTTTAAAACCAGTTAAAAAAAAGTGATTAAAATAACAATAAAAGGGCCAGGGTAAATGAGAAAAGTATGTGTCTATAAAAAAGATAATTGGCACAAACAAATGACCAATAATACTTTAATATATATAAAAACACAATATTCAAATATCCATAACGCGTTTCGTCACAATACAGAATATTGTGTTTTTAAATATATTAAAGTATTATTGGTCATTTGTTTGTGCCAATTATCTTTTTAAAAAAAAAACATTGGCACATACTTGATGAGATACTTAATTCCATTATACCTACTCATCCAAACATTGTTTTTAGAGGAGCACCTAATTTTAAATCTATCTTAACCACAAATTTTACCAAAAAATCTCCTCAAAAAAATCTATCATTTTTTCCTCAGACGAAAGTTTTTTTTAGATGTAAACAATGCATTGTATGTAAAACTGTGGATCATGTCATCTTACCAAAAATTACAAAATTTATGTCAAATCGAACCAAAAAAGTGTATGATATTTATGACTTTATAAGCTGCCATACGAAAAATGTTATTTATCTGCTCGAATGCCCATGTGGCCTCCAATACGTGGGGATGACCACAAGGTGCTTAAAGATAAGACTGAGCGAACATTGCAGAAATATTAGAAATGGATACCTAAATCACACAGTATCCAAACATTTTATTATGCACAGCAAAGATCCCCGTCTATTAAAATGTATTGGTATAAAAAAATGTTCTACCTCCTGGCGAGGAGGTGATATAAAAAAACTACTTGGAAAAACAGAGATGGAATGGGTGTATAAACTTCAGACTCTTATACCCCATGGCCTCAACGCAGATTTTGACTTATATAACTTTTTATGAATTTTAAGTTATCTGGTGCTTGTACCTTTAAACTATGGTTTTATTATTATTCTTTTTTACCAGTTTTATTTTTTACTTTATTATATTTTATTAAATCTGTCCCTTTAAATTGCATTTTAATATAAGATAGATTTTAACTTTACTTATATTTTGTGTATTTACCATGTTTTCCTTTTTTTTTTTTTTTTTTTATTGTCTTTTATTTTTCCAATATTCCTTTAGAGTGTTTTATTTTATTTCATCATCCACTAAAATGTTATTTCCCTAACTACATTTCCCAATAAGCATTTCGGCTATGCTAGCCGAATACCATGTGACCATCCTTTCTACATTTAAATTAGAGAGTTAGCCCTCTCGTTTTGAATAAAAAAAAAACCCACATTGGCAATGGGCTGCAATAGAGTGGCCACATAAGAAAGAAGAATCAAGTTTTGATCGGCCGTCATTCGCGGCATATACACTAACTACATTTCCCATAGACCATTGCGGCGGCACTTCCGAAATGCGGAAGTGCCGCCGGTCATGTGACTTCTTTAAACCCTCTAAAACTACACTTTCCCACCCTCGTTTTTGATTTTAATGTGTTATAATCAAGCTGTATTATTATAAAGTTTATGCTTATTATGTTATTTTCGAAATTTAAAGTTGTATACATGTTTTTATTTTTGATTGGCTGAACTAAGTTTTGGCGCCAAAATTCAACTAATTATGTTCCTATATAACATCTATGTGCCAGGTAAACTATGTTATTCCATTTGAAAAAGTCCTTTTTGTGACGAAACGCGTTATGGATATTTGAATATTGTGTTTTTATATATATTAAAGTATTATTGGTCATTTGTTTGTGCCAATTATCTTTTTTATAGACACATACTTTTCTCATTTACCCTGGCCCTTTTATTGTTATTTTAATCACTTTTTTTTTAACTGGTTTTAAAAAAAACCTTAAAAATTCCTGGAAGTTTCCTGTACCCAAAGAAATCCGTAGGTGGGGATCAATCCACCCAAGCTGTCACCAAAGAGCAGTGCGTCTGCTCCCACTTTGTAAGTACATTTCTTTTATTATTTCATCATTATCTGCCATACAGTGAGCACTATTGGCTGTTTGTTTTATCCCGAGAATTGGATACCATTCACGGAGAGGAACCTGCCCTATATCCCACAAGCGGGGATTAAACCGCTGTACGCGCTTAACTCCAGAGCTGGTCAATAGCTCTGGTAAATGTGAGTTTTATACCATTATTTTTTACCTCTAGACTTGAATTTTACATACTACACCATTGGTTGTCCCCTTTTCTTCTCTTTTTTATCTTTTATTAAGTGAAACCACCACAAATAATAGAAGACCTCACCAAACAAGGACACCAGTAAGATCAAACCAATTGGACTTTCTTTATTTTACTCTAATTGGACTTTATTGATCTTTTGTGCGCAGCCTTTTATTGTTTTTATTGTATCTTGTTTTAAAGGGTTTGAGGGATTCCCTTTTAAGGTCGCTGCCTATAGTTACTTAGCGCTATCTCACTCCTCTTTTTTATAATTTGTGTGTTTGTGTTTACATTTGTGTGTTTGTAATTACCGTTTAGGGTTTGCTTCATGTTACTGTATGGTGCATTGGATAGATTCACATGGTGGACAAAGACCTTTGAGATACTAATTCACCATATGGTAATAATTCCAGCATATTCCCAGCAGAATATATCCACCTATTATTAGCATGTGACTAGAGAGTATATATATAAATCATATACACATAGAGCATGTCTTTCTCCATGCCAGATCAACGCGCTTCATTTTTAGGAGATTCAGAGTGTGGTGTGTTCCTTGGCTTTATCTTAAATATTTTTCTTTAGCTTTCTTTACCATGCATAATAATTAAGAATAACAAAAGGCATATGAAAATTACTGCATATGAAATGCTTTTATATATGAAACTAGCCAGATTATTCTAAGCAACTCTACGATTTTCAACCTGAATTAAATGGCTCAACAAGCGAGTACAGAGCTGAATTTCTAGCAAGGGAAGAATAATGATAAAAGGATTTAGAATACTTTCATTATAAAGTACAAAGGAACTCCAAAATGTAAATGAGTCTAAATTTCTAGGCAGCAGCAACATTTACATTTGAATTTAGTAGCAGAACTATACCAAGAATTGAAAGATGGATTCATTATAAAATAAACAGACCATATAGCCAGAACTCAGGAACGCATAAAATGAGCAACAAAATTTGCAATGGTGTGTATTCACTAAACACCTTATTATAGTAAATATTAAAACCCCATTTCCAACATTAGGTAACAGTAACTGATTTGTAATAAAAAATGTCAACACATTACATGGATCTGTAGGATGCACAGCCTACATTGCATCTGTGTTCATTGTCTGATGCCATCCAGGTGGATTCCCTGGTGCAAGGTTAATACACAGGTGTCACTTTCAAATGACAAGTTCTTGGCATGCACTCTGGGTGTCTGTGATCTTTGAATGTGCACATTTACTGCTATCCAGTTATTAAAGGTGGGTTGAAAGCTACCCCTCTCAGTCTGATGTCCTTGCAAGTCACCTGTTAACTTTTACTATTTAATTAATGCATCTTTTTCTCTTTTCTTTCAAAAGACCTTTCTATAATTTTACTATTTATCTTATTGTCACAATGTAATTGCCCTTTCATTATTTATTTCTTCATTTAGCATTTTTCTCAATCCATCCATATTTAATTCTCTTCACGTGTTTCTCATCCATTTTCCTCTACCCCTATGTATCCATATCATTATCTGTCTATTTTTATGCCCTTCTCTGTGGTTAGTAGCGACAGCTATTGTATTCATGCAAACAGATTGGATTAACAAGTAACTTTGTAATTATTTTATTTTGCAATTATGAAATTATGTGTAAAGCATATGTAAATGTTACCTTTTGGGGTATGTAACATGGTCTGGCAAAGGCTACATCACGTGGTAGAAACATTGTCACGATTGCTTGGATGTTTTTAATTAAAGTCAGCATTTTTAAGAACTGGCCTAGACTTCCCTTAAATGCTAGAAAAGATTGGACCAATAACCAAATGAGCAGGTTTGGGACCTATTTACGATAATGTTATTAAATTAGTACATATAGCATTACCATTATGCAGGGTCTCTTGTGTTTTACCAAGCTAGAGCTTGTATTTGCCTAATTGTCCTGCACAATTGAGAACTTTACCCAAAGCAGGACTTGCATCCTCTATAACACAGACCTGCACATTCTATTTCTATATTCCTCTTTCAAAGTGTGAGACACGCTATTTAGAATAAAATCCACTGTTGCTGGAGAGTAGGACAATCACCTCTAACAAGACAGTTCTCTTGTTGTCCCCAGCATAGAAGGTAATGCCGATGGCATTGTTTTATATGCTGAAAATATAAAATTTGCTTATAATCTTGTTAGCACAATATATTGATGATATTTTATACAATTTAGTTGTAAATGTGCGTGCACAACACCATGTACACCTTTAAGGGTTTATTGCTATATGCAAATTCCTTTTTCAGTGACAGAGATTATGAGCATAGACAAACAGATCTACCAACCTGAATTCAAAACAATTACCAGATTATGGCTTGAATTCATCAAACAGGAATAAATATTTAAGACATGCCATATTTTTTATTGGTCGCTATAAATATGCTTTATTTTATCTCTCCCTCTAACTACAACAAATTTAGTGTTCTCTGGTGTCTTAGCTGCTGTGCTATATCCATTTAAATAATCCTTGTCTGACTTTTAAAGAAAGGTGTAACATAGAAAAGAATTTATAGCAATAGCTAAGACATATAGAATTGCTAAAATATCTACTTCCTATGATGGAATATAATATTCAAAAACGGTTTGGTTTGGGCAGAAATTACAATCAAAGCTGTGCTTCAATTACTTTAATAAAAGAGCTATTTACACTGTGTGGTTTGCTAGTATAAGCTCTGATTGTTGCAAACATAATATGACATTGAAAAAGTGTGTTTACAAAAAAGTAGAGGAAACAAGTTGAACAATGGGAAAAATATATGGTTATCTTATTGTAGTTTGACAAAAACTAGAGCCTGAAATGAAAATTACGTGGAAATAAGTGAACCTCTTTTTTTAATCTTTCAAGATTCTTTTACCGGAGGATTGGAGGAAGGTAGATGTGGTTCCTATATTTAAAAAAATTTCAAAATAATTGCCTGGAAACTATAGACATGTGGGCTTAATTTATGTGATTGGGAAAGTCTTTGAAGGATTATGAAGGGATCATATTCACGAATTCATTGGGAAGAACTTTGTTATTAGCAATAATCAGCATGGTTTCATGAAACATAGGTCATGTCAAACTAACCTAATGGCATTCTACAAAGAAGTAAGTATAAAGATCAGGGTTGCAGTGGATGTGATCTACATGGATTTTGCCAAGGCATTTGATATGGTTCCTCACAACAGGTTAGTGTTCAAACTAAAAGAAATTGATCTAGATCAGGGGTTCCCAAGACAGTCCTCAAGTACTCCCTACTAGTTCAGGATTTAGGGATTACCCTGGTGTTCTTCTCAAAAACACATTGGATATCTCGCGATGAAATACAATTTTTGCCTCTTTAGTTTGGAAAATATAATTGTGTGTATATATATTATAAAAAAAATTATTAATAATTAAAAATACATGAACATTTTTTAAAATAAATTACATATAATTTTATCCTAACTGTATTTTGATGTTTTTATATATATATATATATATATATATATATATATTTATATCAAAATACACTTGAATGACATTATATACATAAATAAAATGAAATGAGATATACATGTCTATATACATAATTACATAAATAATTTCATAAATATACACATATACTTCAAATATATAAATATTTAAATATATTTAAATTCTATGTGCATATTTATGTAATATTTTTACCTAATTAAGTAGTTTTATTGATTGCAATTTGGGGGACCTGCCTGACAACCCAGGCCAAAAGTCCAGAGAATTTAATTTGCTAGCACTACATTTAACCCTGTAACTTTCCAAGACATCCTAAAACCTGTACATGTGGGGTACTGTTTTACTCAAGAGACTTCGCTGAACTCAAATATTAGTGTTTCAAAACAGTAAAACATATCACAGCGATGATATTGTCAGTGAAAGTGATGTTTTTTTAATTTTTCACACACAAACAGCACTTTCACTGATGATATAATTGTTGAGATACGTTTTACCATTTTGAAACACTAATATTTGTATGATATAATTGTTGATATACGTTTTACCACTTTGAAACACTAATATTTGTATTCAGCGAAGTCTTCCGAGTATAACAGTACCCCCATGTACAGGTTTTATAGCATTTTTTAAAGTAAAAGGGTTAAATATAAGGCTTGATTTTCAGTTTTTTGTTGCCTTTGAGAGCGTATGGTAGCCCAGGAATGAGAATTACCCCCATAATGGCATATCATTTGCAAAAGAAGACAACCCAATGTATTGCAAATGGGGTATGGTCAGTCTTTTTTAATAGCTACTTAGTCATAAACACTAGCCAAAGTTAGCGTTCATAATAGTTTTTTGCATTTTTAACACACAAACAAATTTAAATGCTAACTTTGGCCAGTGTTTGTGACTAAGTGGCTACTAAAAGTGGCATACCCCATATTGAATACCCTGGGTTGTCTACTTAAAAAAAATATGTACATGTGAGTTGTGATTCAGAGTTTTATGACAGATAACAGTGTTACAATATCACTATTGATACATTTTAAAAATATATATAATTTGAAACAGCAATGTCCTACTTGTACTTATAGCCCTATAACTTGTAAA